CTGAATGTGTGTCAGTATTACATGCATGCCTTCCATCTTAAAGGGACAGCATTCCTAATTAAGTACCTATCCGTGTCATTAATGTTAACCAACAAAAGATGTTAAATAAATGTACAAATGTTAAGTAAATCTCCTGTATCTGAAAAATGAGTTTAATTTGTATCTCTTTCATATTTGTCTTCTTATGCTTGTCTTATTATGCTTTGTCTTATTATGTAACGATTCACTCAACTCACGATTCGATTCGATTCACAATTTTGATTTCACGATTCGATTCACGATTTTTTTTTTTTACAAAATGACATTTAAGACAAATTATAAATTAAATGGGTCCTTTTATTAATGCTTGGACAAAATTCTGCACGTTTCTTTGTGAAATTGAATAATATACTAATAGAGCACTTGCGTATTATTGCTCTTTTGTTGGTTTTGTCCTCATTTGTAAGTCACTTTGGATAAAAGCATCTGCTAAATAACAAAATTGAAATATAATGTAAATGTAGATAGCAAAACTAAATTGAAATTTTAAAACAAGCCCCAAATCAAATACATAAGTAACACAAATAAAATAAATCTCTTCATATAAACAAACTAAGGCTTTGTCTGTGCTCTTTCCGTTTAAAATTAGAGGCAACCACTGCATTTTAATCTTGATCCAAACAAAGATGCTGCATACATGCAACATGAGCCGTTTTTAATCTAAATTGGATTGTATAATTTCGAAATTTGAAGCAAAAACAGAATGATTTGACAGTTTTGTGAAACTATACTTAAAAATATCTGCATGAAACTGAAACAGCAGACGAGCTGAAAGAGATGCAGTTTCACTCTCTGCCAGCAGGTGGCGCTTAAAGTATTTCCTTGGTTTCTGCTGTAAACAAAGCAGCGCTGCACTTATGAACTTTAATATGCATTATACAGAGGCAAGATGAATAGAAAAAAATACCATCTAAACTTTTCTAAAGGCAGTAAGTTCCCCTCAGACATACATTCATATAAACTCCTACCCTTAATTGAATCGCGATTTGTTTAGCATCTCAACCGATTTGAATCGTCACATATTTAAATCGATTTTCAACCGGCTTGGGTTAATCGTTACATCCCTAATATTATCTATATTATATATGAACAACTATCATATTTATAAGTTGCTCCCTTTTCACTACTGTTAAAGGGATAGTTCACCCAAAAATGAAAATTGTCATCATTTACTCAAGTTTTTCCAAATTCAGTCACATTTCTCATAAGCTTAATTGATTTGGTCTAAAGAGAGAAGAATTAATGACTATTTTTGTTTGAAGACTACATATGAAATAGCTACCAAAATAAATGTTGGTAACTGCAGTTTGACCAAAATAATGACTAAAAGTAATGACTAAAAATGCAATGACTTTTCGTCGACTAAAACTATGAAAGACTCAAATGACTCAAATGTGACTAAGACTATTAAGCATTTCCGTCCATCAAAGACTGTGAACGTGTGTGTGTGTGTGTGTACGCGTTTTTGTGACAAATGAGGACATACATTTGTATAATGACAAAGGTGTGACATAGGTATTACAAGGAGAAGGTGGCTGTCAAAACAAGATTTATTTTATGAAAACATAACAATAGTGCTATAAAAAAAACCTGACAGATAAACTGTTTTCTTGCTTTTAGTGTCTGGGTTTTATTCTCATTGTTTTCAAATCATCTTTTTGTTTAGTTAGAAATGTTGTTTTTCCTATTCCGAACCCTTTAGCCTACGGCAGATCTAGAGATGTCACATACGATTATCATATCAATTGCTGCCATAATCAGACCGTCTCTGAAGTGGCGTCTGTGAGGACGATTGAAGTCTAATGTAGGACATGTCTGTTAAAGTATCCTCCAGCTGTGAATTCATCTCTCTCTCTCTCTCTTTCTCTCTCATAATGTGATTGTACATTAATTTAGTTCACTGAAGCCTGCTTATACACTACAAGATCAGTTCAGTCTTGTGAATATGCTTATTGTGAAGTTTTTGGGCAGTAGACATTCATTTACAGTAATTACAGTTGCAAATGAGCAGGCCCAAATGAAATCTGAAGACTTTATGCGTATTTTGAAGGAAAATTGCAATACTCTGCAGAATGGATTTTAAAATGTTAGCTGAGGGGATTAATAAGACTGCAGTTGAAAGTAAAATCAATATATTTAATGAGAAAACATATTTGCAAATTTAATTTAAAAAAAGCCGGGTGGACCTGCTTATGAGGAACGAATGCGTTTGTGATGTACGATTTATGGATGAATTGTTCTGTTAAACTTAATATATCTATCTATCTATCTATCTATCTATCTATGATCTCCTTGTTGCCCTATTAGATTGAAATATTGATTAAAAGATTTCCACCTGTGTGTGTGTGTGTGTGTGTGTGTGTGTCATCTGTTTATAACGTATGACAGATGCTATCAATTTCCCTGTCTGAATCGGTTTAAAGAAGGTCTGTGTGCATGCTATAATAAAGGTAGTTGCAATCTTTTTTTGTATACTTATTTTAAATTACATATCACTTACTGCCAGTGTTTATGCCACTGTGTGTGGGTGTGGGTGTGTGTGTGTGTGTGTGTGTGTGTGTGTATGTTCAGGAGAGTGTGGCAGCTTATAAAAGCCCCACTGTGTGCCCATCTGTCTGACTCCTGTGATCTTTTACCCAAACACACAGTGTGTGTCCTCAAACCACTGGACTACACACACACACACACACACACGGAAAACTAATTTTCTAAAAACATGTAAATCATGTAAACCTAAAACATCTGAATATATATTTTTAATTGTAAAAACAAAAATTGTATATGGTCTGTATCCAACAAACTTGGGTCTTTTAAAAGTAATCTATCCACAGTCCGAAAAAAAAAACGTGTGTCCTACAGGATCAGATGCCTGAGGATGCCAGCAGCAGGGCAAACCATCAAAGACTGTGAACATGTGTGTGTGTGTGTGTGTGGTGAAGGTCAAAGATCAGAGTTGAAATGAAGTAAACGGATATCTCCAGTTATTTCTGACTGCTTTTATAATTTGATCCAACCCATGAGTTATGGAGCTGTCATTCTGTCTTCAGCTGCAGATGTTGACTTTCAGGCTTCTGTATGTGCGTGTTGTGAGAGCAAGCATGTATATTTCATGAGAAACTGGTAACAGAGCATGATCTCTGTAATTAGTGACATGGCCTTTAATGGGAGAGGATTAGAATGCACACGTCCACAAACGCTGTGACGGCCACATGTGAGCACACACACCGTGCAAAGAAGACAACATGAATATTGGAAGACAGATACCGTACACACAGAGCCGTGTGTGTGTGTGTTGGACAGATCTGGTCTCTGGCAGTATATCAAAGCTGGACTCAAACTTGTGGAGTTGACCATGAAGCTGAAGGTGTTACAAGAGGAGGAGAGATTTTGAGAAAGAAAAAGAGAAAATAAATGAGCAACCAAAAGTGGAGGTGTAGGCTTAGCAGATGTTCACACAGAACATGTTCTTGCTTTCAAAGACCGTAAGCACAGCAGAACTGAACAGAGCAGGGGTTTCAAGACTCATGTTTTGAGTTTTTAATGTGAATTTTACAATGGTTTTAATACAGTTAATTTGGCTATTAAGTTTCCTAAAAATTGCGCTAATATACTAGTTTCACACATCTTTGTGTCGCAACTTTTGTGTATTTGAGCACGAAGATAAAGGTAATCGAATAGCATCTCTGATTTTAAATCTTAATACAAAAAAATTATGAATGGGGAAGTTGGATTTATTTTATCAAATCAGTTCAGGTTATATATATATATATATAAATACATTTATTTATTAATGTTTATATGAAATATTTGTTTCACCATTTGTTTGGTCAGCATTTGTTTTGTTTTTGTTTTTTTAAGAACAAATGTGACCCTGAACCACAAAACCAGTCTTAAGTGTAAATTTTTCGAAATTGAGATTTATACATCATCTGAACGCTAAATTAATAAGCTTTCCATTGATGGTCGAGAGACAACTGTTTGAAAATCTGGAATCTGAGGGTGCAAAAAAATCTAAATATTGAGAAAATCGCCTTTAAAGTTGTCCAAATGAAGTCCTTAGCAATGCATATTACTAATCAAAAATTAGGTTTTGATATATTTATGGAAAGAAATTTGCAAAATATCTTCATGGAACATGATCTTTACCTAATATCCTAATGATTTTTGGCATAAAATAAAAATCAATTATTTTGACCCATACAATGTATTTCTGGTTATTGCTACAAATATACCCCGGCGACTTAAGACTGGTTTTGTGCTCCAGGGTCACATATACCTAATTATGGTGACGGTAATCCCTTATTAGGTCAAAATATCATTTCAATAAATATGTTCCTTAATAGGTTTTATACACAATATTATATTAAGTATTATATTAATACTAATTACATTTTATTAATTTTATAATGTGTGCGCGTGTGTGATATATAGTTGCTTTTGTTTTGGTCATAAAGGAGAAAAGAAATAACCTTGCTGTGAGACATTTTAGACCAAATGGCTAAATATGGTGATATTGTATTGCAAATTGTCAAAAAGTAGGGGAAATTGTCAAAAACCCTACATGACACAACACCTTAAAAACACATTGCTGAAAATACAGCATTACACAATCAAACCCCCCACCCCCAAAGACATCTGCCAGGTTTGTACATAGACTGACAATTGAAGAACTGTGCAGACGAAATGGCAAAATGCGTACGGCAAATTCTTCAAAAAAATTGTTGGCTAGAGATTAAGAGAACAAGAACAAGCGTGCGTGAAAGAAAGATGGAACACAATAAACATTTCATCGGCAAAGTGCTGACAAATCACCTTCATCAAACCCCCGACACGCGTACGTCTCCATTCCGCTAGCGTCTATCGAGATGAAGAATAGAGTCAGCGGAAAAAATGACGACACATTAACAAGATTACAGCGATAATGTAGAACATCAGTGCGGCAGTGAGACGAGGTTGATTATGTGCTGGCGTGAGCGTTAATGAGTGTGTTGTAGTAAATGTGCCCCGTGTTTGTGTAAATGTAACCCGTGTGTGTCCTGTGTTTCAGATGCACCATCCCATACAGATGAAGCCCGCAGACAGTGAGAAGTCTAATGGTGAGTGTTTGTATGCGTCTCTTTTTTTTTTTTCTCAGGTCGTCTGACTGTATGTTTGTTCTGGGGGTTTGTCTCTGTGTTTGTGTGAGGGACTGGGAGATGGATGAATTATTGAAACCCAGGAGAGCCGCGGGTCAAGAATAGTTTAAGTGTCTGCCCTGGCAGTGATCCAAACGCATACACACACACACACACACACACACACACACACACACACACAAGTTTATCATATGTTGTATAAAATTAACAATATCAACTTTAGCATTGTTTTCTTGCCATATATTGTTTGTCCTTTTTATTTTAGAGATCCAGCTATAAATTTCTAGTTTTGTATTTGTATGTAAATGTTTAATGTATATAAAGTTAATGATGCCATTTGTAAAGATGCAATATAAAAAGTAAATATTGAACCAAATATGTCTCCTACTTCACTGTGGTTGGATTTAAAAATGTACAGCAGCAAAACTAATATCTGGAAAAGGTATTATTCCAAAACTTAATTGGTCCTGGCCTTGAATCCTTAAAGTGGGAATTTGTTATTCCATGCTAGTCACACACACACACACACACACACACACACACACACACACACATAAGCCATATTGCTCACAAATGAGATTGTATAGATGTGCTTAGGAAGTAAAGTGTAAGGGAGCTGCTGCTTGGCCAGTTGCCCACATTTCCAGAGACTTGAGAGCAGAATGATGATTTAACTATTACACTGTTACTACTATAACCTGCCCATAAAAAAATAAAAAGAATATATTTTATATAATAATATAATATAGTCTTAATGTAGTACAAATTTGCTTTGCCACCGTTCAAAAGTTTGGGGTCAGTTAGATTTTTTTTATTTAATTTTATTTCTAGGCTGTATTTATTTGATCAGAAATACAGCGAGAACAGCAATATTATGAAATAATGTTACAATTTAAAATATATATTTGTTATTTTTATTTTAATATATTTGAATTATTCTTGTGATGCAAAACCAAATTTTCAGCAGTCATTACTCCAGTCTTCAGTGCAATAAAATTTCAATATTTTGTGTTTATATAAATGTTTATTAAACATCTATTGTAAAATAATAATCATTTCAAATGTATTTGTAAATCAAATAAAAATATTACATCATAGGTGGTCTGTGTTTAATACACGAGCTAAAATATGTAATCAGATAGAAATTGCTATTGTGTAGAGTAAAACTTGCTTGCAAACCATATTAATGTTGATTGTTTTGAGTCGATTATTTTCTGTGAAACAATTTGTCAGACTGTTTCACAAATCGGTCTGGATGATTCATTCCCAAATTACTCTGTAACAGAATTATTTGCCAAAAAAAATCGTATCCATTGATTTTTGTAAGTCTATGGATAATAACTTTCTTAATACTAGTTATTGGTCATATTGTATTTGATTTGCTTCATGTTATTCCAAAGAATAATATTTCATCAAAATGTAATAACTTGTTCTGCCTCTAAAATGACTTATTATGGATAAAATGGTGTGCGAATAGCATTTCATGTATTTTCTTCAGAGTCAGATTGGGCTCTGCTGCTTGTCTGTGTAAACGGATCTGTCTCTGTCTGTCTCTCTGAGTGACAGTGATGTTATAGATATGACCCTCCATAAAACCACTCCATCCTCACATAGAGGATATTATATCAGATGTTCACTGTAAGCTTAGCTGTAATGCATTCATTCTGCTTATTAGTGAACACTGTAACCCATCAAACTGAGAACCCTGCTCCTGTGTGTGTGTGTGAGTGTGTGTGTGTGTGTGTGTGTGTGTATGTTTGTGTGTGTGCAGTTAATCTTCTGATATGACACTGTGTGTGTGTGAGTGAGTGTGTGTGTGTGTCTGTGTGTGTGTGT